CGCTACTGGTATTGGTGAAATAGGTTCCATTCGACAGCCCAACCTCTTAGCTATGGTAGTACTCAAGAAATTATGAGTACTGCCTGAATCAATCAGAATCAGTACTGGTTTCTTGCCCACATATCCTGTAACTCTCATGGTCCTGAAATCGACCCATTAATAGCATTGAAGGAAATCAATGGTTCCATGTTAGCCATATGACTTCTCATGTTAGAATCTGTCTCCATATCTTCAACATGACTTTTTATCATCTCCATCTCCCCTTCTTGTTCACAACCTGATACTTCCACCAAAAACAATTGAGTACCTTTATGGCTGCATTTATGCTCTTTACTGAACGGTTGGTCACAGTAGTAGCACAAACCTTTAGCCCTCTTTTCTACTCTTTCATTAGCTGATACAAATTTTCTTGGAACTGTATTTGCAGGCCATTTCAACATATGGGAGCTATTCTGATTAGTTATCACAGGCACATTCTTCTGCTGCATAATGGGAGTAGGAAGTAATGGTTTCAATATAGGCATCTTGTTAGGGTTGACAGATTTGGTCTGATTAGTCAAGGCTTCCACATTATCTTCTTGAAACCTAGCAAACTCTATGGCTTCAGCCATATTAGTGGGCTTAAAAGCTTCCACAAATGACTTAAGAGTTGGCTTCAAAGCAGCTAGAAAGCAATCCAAAAAATAATCATCAGGTAACTTCGAATTTCTTTGAATCATGAGAGCTTTAAGGTGTTCAAATTCATCAACAAATTCTTCTATTGACCCTGTTTGTTTCAAATTATTGAATCTCTCCACCACTTTATTACCACTACTGACATTGAATCTCGCATATACATCTGTTACGAACTGACTCCATGACAACTTCTTTTTTGACAGGATATAGTTTCCAAACCAATTAGCAGCTCTTCCCTCAAGGTATAATGAAGCTAAATTTACCTTTTGTTTATCAGGAATAGCACACAATTTGAAGTACCTTTCACATTTCTGTACCCAAATTTTAGCGTTCTGACCTTCAAAAGAGGGAAATTCTACTTTATGCATAAATCGGTACTGTGGTCCAGCTGAAGGCTTTCCAGAATGATCTCCTCCCTCGTCGTCTTCATCTGATGATGATTCTTCGTCCGCACTGGAAGTACTGTTTCCTTCATCTTCTATTACTTTCTTTCCTTTCTTCTTTTGTAATTCAACCATTTTTTTCATGACTTTTGACATCATATCCATCATCAACTTGTTTTGCGTTTCCAGCTTCTGATCAAAGTCTACCTGCAACAGTTTCAAAGATTCCTCCATGTCCGTGGCTGAATTCCGAGTCTGCACCATTCTTCGTTCTTACAACCGTCGTATTCCTCGTTCGAACTCGGATGCACTGATATTGAAGTCACCTATGTGTAAAATTAGGATTAAGTCTCTGATACCAATGATACAGTTCAGGAATTCTCATGAAAATGGAGAAGAGAACTCGAGAAATGTATAGAAAGCCAGAGTAGATTACAGAGGAATAGAGAGAGAAGATGAGTAATGAGAGTTATATTAATAACAGCCTGCTTTACAATTCTCATACAATGGCTATATATGGTTTTAGCTGGCTAACAATCTGTTAACTAACTAAACCGACTTATTCCCTTCAATAATACGGCTAACTAATTCCCAACTAATATCAGCTGTATCAAATTGTTTTGTAACGAGGGAAGACATGCATGCGGGTGAGCATGAGATTATATTTCACGCGCATACCACTTCCCGGCCGGGCCGGGCGGGTTTTGGGTTCGTATCTTGATTTGCCGCCCGCATATATTGTTTAAAGATGTTTATTATACACCTTCCTGCCCGCATTTTTAATCATCCGAAAATCCTTGATATAATCTACCATCTTTTTCCTTCACTAAAATTTGTTGCACATTTGAGTTAGTCGGTGTCTTTGGGGGACGAATAAACTGTTCTTTTCTGAGAGAAGATTGATATCTTGTGTCGGGGTTTAATGCACCAAACTCCCCTGTGATTTGGAAATTCGGCGCATTAGCCCCTGTGATTTAAAAAATGCGTCAAACTCCTTTGTGTTTTAATTAATCATGAGCTGCAACTACCTCATCTTTATTTATCTGACTTTCCTCTTAACCAGCCTGTCTTAGCCGAATCCTCACATGCACTTTTCCCACACCTAGTACTCAGCCTTTTCCCATGCAGACTACTCCATCCTGTAATCTGCCAACAACACCCATCCACACCATACCCACCCAGGCCTCCACACCGCACACTCCATCCTGTAATCCAGACCAAACACCTCCAAACCAAACATCTCCAGACCTACATTCATCCACTTACTCCCCGCCACCAGCCATGACCTCGTCACCACACCTGCCCTCGCCCCAGTTTTCCGCGACCTCAACCCCTACGCACGACCAGTCCGTTGCAAACCCCCCTGATGACAGCCCGGAACACTCTCAGTCTGCTACTACTTCACCGTCCTCCCTTCCGGCTTCCACACATAAATTTCACCCCATGCAAACCCAGGCTAAGTGAAGCATTTTTAAACCAAAAACTATTTTTAATTTAAATACGGTTGCCTTATCAGCAGATCCCACTTGTTTTTCAGAGGTAAATAAACATCTTAAATGGCGTGAGGCGATGGCAGAGGATTTAATTCTCTTTTTTCTAATAATACTTGGGAATTAGTCCCGTTTGATAACACTAAAAATGTTGTGGGCTCTAAGTGGATTTATAAGACAAAATATAATTCAGATGGATCTATTGAGCGTCATAAAGCTCGTTTAGTTGCACAAGGGTTTAGTCAGCAGGCTGGTGTAGATTTCTCAGAGACTTTCAGTCCAGTTATTAAACCCCCCACTGTTCATGTTGTACTTTCTTTAGATATTTCTTTTGGGTGGGTTATTCGTCAACCGGATGTCAAAAATGCCTTGTTGCATGGTGATCTCACTGAAGAGGTTTATATGCGTCAAACACGGGGTTTTACCCATCCTTTGTTTCCTAATCATTTATGTGGACTGCGAAAAGCCCTATACGGGCTTAAGCAGACCCCGCGGGCATGGTTCCATCGTTTCAGCAGTTTCTATTGTCTTATCATTTTACATACAGTAAGTCGGACAATTCTTTATTTATATACCGTCAAAATAATTGTGTCATTTATTTATTATTATATGTGGATGACATTATTATTAGTGGCAATTCGCCTTCTCTTGTCTCTTCCCTCATCCATTTTGTTGCTCAACACTTTGCTATGAAGGATCTTGGTGACCTTCATTACTTTCTTGGAGTCCAGGCAAAACGTTCTAACAAAGGACTGTTTTTATCTTAACACAAATATGTGTGTGATCTTCTCTCTTGTTTTCACATGCATACGGTTAAGCCTGTTCGTACACCTCTTGCTACCCGCACTTCTCTATCTCTCACTGATGGCGAGCTTCTTGCAGATGCCACTGAGTATCGTAGTATGGTTGGTGTGTTACAATATTTAACTTTGACACGACCTGATATTACATAAGTTGTACATTTAGTGTCTCAGTTTATGCATGCCCCTCGTATTACTCAGCTATTTGCAGTCAAGAGAATTTTCAGGTATTTGCAAGGGACTTTGGACCATGGTTTATGGTTGAGTCCTACCACACAGGCAACTTGTATCATTGCCTATTCTGATATTGATTGGGCTGGTTGTCCAGATTCATCCCGTTCCACGACTGGATTTGCTATCTTTATAGGGCCAACCTTGTCTCTTGGAAATCCAAGAAACAACCTACCGTGTCCAAGTCTTCTACAGAGGCAGAATACAGAGCCGTTTCTTACACAGTACATTATACCTTGCATATTCGTTCCATTTTATTTGAGCTTGGTTTTCCTGTCAAGGCTCCTGACTCCTGACTCCTGTCAAATTATTTTGTGACGACATCTCTGCTTCATACTTGACTGCTAATCCTGTTCAGCATGCTCGTAGCAAGCATATTTAGATTGATTTTCACTTTGTCAAGGAACGTGTTGCGCATGGAGATTTAAAAGTTAAATATGTTCCTACACAGTTACAGCTACGCTGATATTTTTACTAAAAGTCTTTCTTGTTAGCAATTTCATTTTTAAAAGATGACTTGTGCGTTGTGTCTCCCGCACAGTTTGAGGGGGTGTAATAGAATATATTTAGGAATATTTGTTTCCTTATGTATATTGATACCACCTTTCTCGTTAATTCTCACAAAACTGGGCACTTAATTTAACGTATGTGCATACGAAAGCGGATATGAGGTCACCACTCATAAGGGATTACTTTTTTTTAATGGAGGGGATTACATTTTCAAAGAGTGAAATTAGTGAATGATGACCTTCAAAGAAATATTAAACCTTGGCAACAAGCCAACAAATATTCCATTTCACATTATTTTCACCTATTGCTAATTCTTGTGTTACTTATCTTTTTGTAAGCGAAGCTAAGTAAATAGAATATTCCCTTCATCACCTTTTGGGGAGTACATTTTACTTTCTTTATTGCATCATTGCAAGATATTTTGTTTCGTATGATAAATCTACAACTTTTACTCTTCAATAACAAATATTTTTCAACCAATTTATTAGTAATTGTGTTAAAATGGAGACAATACTATAGTGCACCTTCAAATATGTACAATAACAAAAAAACACGAAAATTTGAAAATTTAAGGGTGAAAGAAAAATGAGAGATTTATAGAAAATCCCCCAACCCTTCCATGAACAGAAGCATCAACTATCAACCATTTGAGACCACTACCTGCTTATCAAACCTAGGCGTCAGGTCCCCGTTCAGTCCCAAGAAACGACTGGTCCTGACTCCTGATTCAGAACAGACCCGAGAACGAGACCTAAGTACTATCAATTTCCAAAGCTAAACTTGAGCCAAAAAAATGTCCACCGCTTGCTGTTCAACCAAATTTAGTTGACTTCACTGTTGATTTTTTATGGGTTCAATGTTTTGTGAGTCGTGACGAGAAAACTGGAAATGCTTCAAAAGGCACATACAACAAAAGACAACCAGAGATTCGTATTCAATTCTTTCTTATTACAACAAATGCTACACATTATTATAACCTTTTTGTCAGTTCACACAAGGACGAATTCATACGTAGTACGTAGTACTATAGAAGAAATGTCAAACACAAAGAAGACATTTTCCATACACCGAAAATTTCTAAATCATATTCTATTCGGAAAGAAAATCAAAATAAGAATTAATGTCAAACACCCTCAAATTAACAATGCCAACCAGCAGTCCAACTGTAGTACATCACATGATATAAGCAGATCCATTTTAGAGTCTTCCATGTGTGAACACGGTGTCAGGCGTTGAAAGTAAAGAGGTTTTTTTTTTGCAATTAAGTGATGCGTATGAGAAGCACGACCATAACAAAGATGCAGGTCATAACAAAGATCATAAGCCATGTGAAGCATGTGGTCTTGAAACTCTGCGAGTACACTTTCATGGCACGAACATTAGCATTCCCTGTACTCGCCAAGCTACGCTCAACCGCTTTCTCTGTTGAATCAAGTATCTGCACCACCCAAAGAATTCCAAACGTTTTTGAAGTCAAGACAAAATAGATATGGACGGACTAAGCAAAAATAAAGGCAAAAGAATTTGATGAGTCACCATTGCCTTATGTACCGTTGTTTACTGCTTTTCGAGGTGAATCGTCCTTATTTGACCGAAATATCTAGTCATATCAAACTATTCATTTAGCCATTTGAGACCCTATTTATGTCAGTTTAAATCTAAAGTAAAATGATAAATCTTTATAAATAGATAATTTAAAATTTTTGGAGTCATCTTATTGGCCAAAATATCTAAAAACAGTGTTGAATAAAAATGACATCTAGTTGTAAGTTTGATCATTAGTTGCATCCCTCACTATGCCATTGGAATGCTAAATTCAATGTTCTACAACAATAAATGAGACTACAATTTCCTAATTCTATGTTCTTCGAAGTTCAATTATGGTCTCACCTCATTTGGTTGCAAAGAGCTTAGTTTCACTGTGGAGGAACTCAAATGACCCAATTCTGGAGATTCTCCAAATCTAAGGTTAAAGTTCTCTTTACAGGTACTTTTGTTTAGCCTGCTTAAATTTGTCTCATTCAAACACCACGTTATTTGATAAAGCCAAAGTAACCTGATAACTATCCAAACAACATCTTAGTATTTACACTTGGTTCACCTATCACCTAGGTTGACCCATATTTTATTGAATTTAAGTTTACCCTATTCAGACAAAGCCTTAATCTCCTCCAAAAGAAGTTGTTATGTCAAGATAATGAGGTGGAATTTCAAGACGATATATCATAGGAAATATCACAAGAAGTTGTTATGATCATGTCCCATTACAAGATATTTATATTGGAAAGTCAACATACACATCATGACATCACCAAAATAAAATCAGTTTGCAATAATGAAAAATGCTAAATTTGATATGATATAAATTAAAGATATAATGTTTAAACACCACATCATGAAGCAAGAAAGCTGACCTTTTCTGTATTTTTAATTGATTGGTTCATCATGAGACTACTCTCTTTGAGTTGTCGTGCCAAGACAACCATTTCATCTGTCAAGGTCTCCTGAAGTTTCCTGAAAGTTAGGGCTTTACTCGTACATACATGACCAACAATATGCTGTAAACAGCAAACTAGAATAAAATGCCTACATATTTGCATTATACTATTTAATCATCAATCAATCATCATTTACCCAGTGCCGCAAAGGCTCCCACCTACGGTGGGGTAAGGGGGGTCGGATGTACGCAGTCTTACCCCTGTACTAAAGCACAGAGAAACTGTTTCCGGATGACCCATAATGAAAATCGCGTCCAAAATTGCATGGACTGACTGCTGCTTCATAACAAAGAAGAGCAGACAGTTTGGTGAGCCATTTTTCTTTATTTTTCATTAAACTATTCCTAAGAAAAAAAATAAGAATCACCAAAAGAATAACCCTTTTCTCAAAACTTCCAGAGCAGACATATATCTTTTGAAATTTCTTATGGATTTAGGATCTGTTTCGTTTTTTTTCCCAGACAAACTTTTCAATTGCTTTATCTTTGGTTGGAAAAGTCAATCTGATATAAACCCGTGTGATTAACAACAAAAATTGCTCAAACTTTCCCACAAACTTCCTGGCAGATTTAATCCATTGAAAATCCGTCGGCAATGATATAGCAAATGTTCACATTACTGGCTCTTCGTTAAATTTAAAAAATTCCAAGCACAAAGAAGAGAACCAGCAAGGGACTGGCCGGTAAAAATATACCTATGCTTATCAATGTGTGTCAACGCAGCATCATCAAGTTTGACCTGGGTAGATCGGTCCGCATCCACTGCGTCATGAGATGTTTCCATAGTATTCAATGGGGGCCTATATTCCACTTTCAACATTATAACTCATATCAACTCACAGAAAAACATAAAAAAAAAAACTGTAAATATATATATATTCATATTCACAAACACAAATCTTCTTCTCAGTCCTCCAGTAGGAGAGTGTATACTTTCCCCCTCTGTTTTATGAGTTTCAACCTCAAATTTGTCAACCACTGGCTCCTGAGACTCCTGTTGAATGACAATAGAGTACCCCGAATAGAAAAGGTCAAGGCAATCTAAATACAAAATTAAAAGCAAAATGATTTTTGATGGAATTTGAGATTTAACCAGACATGTTTTCGATATTAAAAATAAAATAGCAAACAACACTCCAAAAACGAGAATGAACAGGCAAGTACACCCACCACAGGTACAGCAACTTTAGCTGCAACAGCTTCAATTTTTTCAGCATATTCAGTCACCTTTGCCTTGGAGATCCTACAAAAGCATGTAAGTTATGAACTTATGACTGAATAAAGCATGTAGGAGGACTATTATCATTTTAGTTGACTTTCTGGTGACACAATTGTACCTCAAATTGGTCATATTGAATGATAGAATATAGTAACTACAAAGAGCCTAACGATAGTGTAAAGAGTACTACCTCTAGTCCAAATTAGTGCTCCCCATTTCGATTTGCAGCATTTTGATGAAGTCAAAAATTAATTTAAAAAATAAAAGCCCATCACAGGTTTTAAACTGAAAAAATAGTACTCACTATGTCTTGAATTTATCTTTAATTTTTTTCATCCGTCACAAGTCGCAACATACTACCTCCATCCCATTTTATGTGTCTCCTTTGGTTTTGGCACAATTTTGAAAAGGTAAAAATTGTGGTTGAGATTTGAGTATAGTAAAGTGAAATGTTGTGAACCACATATTTCTTTCCAAAAAGGGAAAGGTGACACTTATTTTGGGACAACCCAAAAAGAAAAGTAAGACAAGTAAAATGGAACGGAGGGAGTAATATTTGTAGGAGAGAATCCAATGGTTCATATCGTCGCTCATCACCATCATCATTACCCCAGTGCCGCAAAGGCTTCCGCCTACGGTGGGGTAAGGGGGGTTGGATGTACGCAGTCTTACCCCTGTACTAAAGCACAGAGAGACTGTTTCCGGATGACCCATAGTGAAAATCAAGCCGATAAATAGTGAGTCTTTGGTTCCATTGCAAATGATGGAAATATACCGTCTCTATCCTTCCTAAATAAATATCAGCCGACTGTTTCATTTTCTTAAGCTTGTGCCATAAGCTATTCTCGAGATAATATTGGAATGAAGAGAGTTGTAAGCATACAAACCTAGGCAGTCCTTCTGGAGTCCTTTCTTCGGCCAACTGCTCCAACAGTTCCCGCAATGTGGCAACATACTACAAAATATTGAGTAACTAACAAGAATAAATTTAAAGACATTATATTCAATGATAGGATGGATGTTCTGAACATGAATTGCAATTTTTCTGCTGCAGCCATGAAATAAGCATGGCTAGCCAATTATTAGATTCTTAGAGGCTGTAATACATGAGTAAACTAATCATCAATACAACAACATCCAATCCTTATTCCCAAAAGATTTTGGGGTTGGCTAAAAAAGATTAATATCCACCCAATGAAATTCAGGTTTTTGATTGATAGTTCTGACTTTTGATAATCGGCCATCAAAAATCAAAACGGAAAATAGAGAAGCTGCCTAGTTCAGTCATTCGAATAATCGTCAGTCAAGAGTCAAGACTATTTACATCTATTCAACAGTACTACAGAACTACGACAATCTTTTCAAGACTATTTACAAGCACCACACTGTCACAAAAGCAATACTAGAGTTGTAAATAGACTATACATCTTCAAGTATTGAAGATTTCAAAGAAATCTAGGAACTCATTTTCTAATATTCATTCAATAATCTCAAGATATGAACCTTACTATGCCGGTGCAACTTACAGAGATGCTCGATTGATTCAGTGAGCATGGTGTTTCCTCAAGTGTACTATGGCTACTGTTAGATCTTTTAATTGGAAAAATAGAGTAATGCTAATTTGAGGGGATAGAGTCACAACTTAAATTCTCGTGTTGTTGATTATATGGATATTGCTACTCTAATTATACCCCAAGATGTATTATTAGACTTCCTAAATTATTAATGCCTCGTTTATTCCAGAAACGATGTTCATCTTTGTTTTTTAGATGTGCATTTTCTATAATGTATTAACAAACACGTATAAAGAATATATTTCTTCTTATAAACTAAACACTATACAGATTTGATTTTTGAAAAAATAGCTTGATATTGTACTATTATACTAAGAAGTATGTTATAGTACATCAGTACATGTGTAAGACTGCGTACATCCGACCCCCCCTCTTACCCCACTGTAGGAGGGAGCCTTTGCGGCACTGGGTTAATGATAATGATGATATTATTCAGTTGGAAAAAAAAAACATTTCAGAAAAAAAACATTCTCTACAAATTTTAATTTTTATACTAGAGACTTTTTAAAAGTATATAATTTTTCATGAATAAATAAATAATCCTTCAAGAAGGAAAAACATTTTTCTATAAAAGAGTCAGTTTTCCTTTGACTTGGAAAAAAAGTTTTCAGTTAGACGGGTTTTATGATGCGCCAAACATAGGAAAACAGACAAATGTTCTCAAAATGCTTCAAGAAACAAATGGAGTAATGTACAAATCATTTCCTGCGCAAGATCAGAACAACCATTCCAGAGGATAAAAAAAATTGCATCATAATCATGTTCACATGCCATAGAAACTCTTGTATAAATGTCAGAGAGGAACTCCACAGATAATATGCAATGTGCAATTGTGCACATGCATAAATCAAAAACAACTGTCACTAAAACTAAGCAACTTTTATCACAAAATTTCAACATAACTTCAGAACTACGGAACTACCACACATCTCATTTTCATTTACCCCAGTGCCGCAAAGGCTCCCACCTACGGTGGGGTAAGGGGGATCGGATGTACGCACTCTTACAGTCTTACCCCTGTACTAAAGCACAGAGAGACTGTTTCCGGTCTTCCGGATGACCCATAGTGAAAATCGTATCCAAAATTGCATGGACTGACTGTTGTTTCATAACAAAAAAGCACAGACAGTTTAGTGAGTCATTTTGCTTTGTTCCATCATATTCTCAAGCCAAAAAATAGTGAATTTTTGGCTTCATTGCAAATGATGGAAAACGGAACTACCACACATGATAAAATAAAATTCAAAGAATTGTCAAAAAAGAGGCAATAAAGCTAATCATTTAGTTAATAATTAATTAATCATCAGTAGATGTAAAAGACACTATCACTAAACATGAAAGAGTTCAATTCAACATACATGTATGAGCTTTGCTTGATTTTTCTGTTGTGGTGCAGTTTCAAGTAATCTCCTCAAATTCACTTCAGCTTTGCAAAACCCCATTATTTGTTACTCTACTAGTCCAAAAATAGAATACATAAATAAATTCGGGAGGAAGAATAATCAGAATTCAAGAAAGAAAGTATCTCAAATGTTCTATAATGCACGGAAATATGAACCGCATGGAGTTTTCTTGATTCAGATTTCAGAACCGTTCCTACTAAAAACTAGCAAGCCTGTGTAGGTAATTTTCAAAAACCTTGAAACGCAGCTCCCGTGAAAACTGAAAACCTATGCTTCTGAAACTTCAAAGTAAAAAACCTATATTAAAAACTTATGGTTCAGTTATGGCATTTTGTTGTCTTCAGTTTTAACTCCTACAAATGCTCAAAACTGAAAGGAAGACTCAAACTACAAGCTCCTTCGTCGTCTTCAGCTATAGCCTATAGGTAATTCACATCTTCTATTTCTGTTAGCTTATCATACTTTGTTCCTTTTCTTTGTTTATTAATTATTATTACTACCTCCGTGACTCCGTCCTACTAACATTGGGACATGAGGAGGAGGTGCGGTTATTAAGAAAAATTGGTTTATGGGGTTGATATTTAAGTGATAAAGTAGGAATAAAGTACAAGTGGTTTAAAATCACAAAATTTACCCAATTTGGTAGGGTACAATCTTAGTGGGACGGACTTAAAAGAAAGATGGGAAAATCTTATAGTTAAATATGGCAAAGATAGTTCTAACAATGTGTAAACAATGTCAAAATCTGAAAGAGGTAAAGATAGTAAACAATGTGTTATGAGCAGACCATTCTTTTAAAAGAAGAGCATGGTGGCTTGTCATAGATAGTTCTATTCACATGTCATATCTTGTTGTCAATGATAATCATACAAAAATGTCCAAGAATAAGTTAGGTATTAAGCTAAACATACTAAATAGCAATAGTTATTATATGTTCATCATGTTATTATATTGAATTCAGTCCCAATAAACTAGAATGTAAAATACCATGTTCATCATGTTTTTATACTATGTGGCAGACTAAGTTATTTACTCTTTCAGTCTTTCGTGCTTTTGATAAATTAAAATGACTTCAATTGAGGAATTTTTCAAACAATAATTTGTTTTCACTCATTCCCAACAAAATAGGAAATTTATCTAAAGTCTAAAAATGACCAAACATTCATAGATTCCTAATACATGACTAATAAAGTTAAATATGCCACCGTAATAGTAAAGTTGAAGAGAGAATAAGTAAGTAGCATCAAAACACTTAACATACATCCAAAACACCATTTTTTCTTTTAGTCATACTTCAAATAATTTTCTCCGACAATAATACCACAGGTTCAAAGAGGGCACAACTACAACAACAATTTACGGTCAGCTAACAAGAATCGTCACATGACATCAGAGTTAAAAAATAACAAATAGAGTAAAGGGAAACAAACAAAAACAAATCAATCTCTCTAACATATACTCTTCCTCCGCTTTGCTCTCCAAGTAGAAGTGACCAAGCATAGCATTTTTTTTTGTAATCAAGCTTCTAAATTAAAATTCATTCTAGTTTTAAATGGTTTTAAAATGCAGGTGGAAGTTTTCTGAGTTTCTGCAACTTCCCTACAACCCTTAAAAACTCCAACTCTCAGCAGCTGCTAAGGACCCTACTGATTCAACTACCGATGACTTTTAACATCCATCATTAGTCCCGTAAATATGCTTCAGCTAGTGTCATTACACAATATTGTGCACAAGAAAAGAAAATAAGCAATGCAATATTGTGACTTAATATGACTGCCTGAAGCATTATTAGTTATTAAAAAAACAGTAGATCTCATGACAAAGTAGAAATTGTCTAACTTTAACTCAAGAGAAGTCCAACCAACGATTGGGTACATACCAAGAACTAAGCCTTTGACAGTATACAACTAAGGCATTTAACACCCCTTTTTGAGTAAAAACTATGGAAATTGAATTTAGATATGCTTTGATATAGATAATTCAGAGAGTACTTTTCTAAACGTTTGGGCATTTCTGTGAATAATTATTTGAGACCATTTGAATAAATAAAGGAACAATTTTAAGTTTACTTCCTAAAAGAAACTTATTTCCCGCCAGAACTTGTTATATTATAAAACTTGCGATCCTAGACTTATACAGTTTTATCGCTTGAAACAGGTCATCCATTGTATGTCATCTGAATGAAATAAAGTATTCTAATTGAAATCTCAGTAAATGTGGTCTGTAGGATGAGTTGTTTCGTTACTTTTTAGTTAGTTTTTTTCTTTTGTTTTGTGTTGCTAAACCAGAACTGCAATCCTCTGTTTTAACAACATATATGAAACAATACGTGTATGTTCCTGTTAAACATTAGAAAGTGGTTGCATTTTGTCGAACATGTAGTGGACATTCACGAAATCCTTGACTATGAAAATTACTTTTTTACTGAAGTTGCTACCAAATTGAACCGGGATAGAAGTCCAAATGTTTAGTAGGACTGTACAGAGAGAGCTTGAAATACGAACAAAGGAATTAACAATTTCAGAAAACACAAAATAGATGGAATTAGAAATGGAGGTATAAGAAGGACGAATACCTCTTCGTTGTGGCAGAAGAAGATGAGAAGGGGAACTGGGGAAGATAGTGACGCAGAATAAAATGAGAAGGGAAGAAACGTGCAGGTCCTCTCCGCTTGATAACCTTCGCGTACCGTCGGCGAGTTGATAACCGTAAAACAATTTTGCACTGCTGGGGCAAAGGGGGCAGTTAACAGGGACGAATCTTTCTGTAAAGATGTATCGTTACATTTCTGTGTAAGGATGTTTTGCACTTCTGGTTGTATTAGTTAAAGTTAGTGTAGATGATCATTTTAGTTATTTTACATATAACTTTTTCTTAAAATAATATATATAATACATATAATTTTTTCTTAAAATACTATTTTAGCTATTTAGCTATTTTATTAATAAAATATACTTAAAAAATATTTTTTTCCTTAAATTAGCAGAATCAACCAATGCAGCCACTTCAACCATAATTTCATAAATTTCAGCAGAATCAGCTCAACAAATACGGACGGGGTATACTATTCAATGTCTGATATAAGAGTGAGGGGGTCTGTGGGCTTTTGGTCACTGTGGGTTAGAGGGAGATTAAGGTTTCTGGATATTGCTGGTTGTTTGGATTATTTCATATTAATATAAGTTTTTTCCTGTAAAGAAGGGAAAATTACAGAAAACGTACTTGTAATTGTGCTTGTTTTTAGATAGGGTCATGTGTTTCATTTTTTTATCAGAGTGGTTCATGTGTTTGAATTCCGTTATCACAAGAGGGTCACACCGTTAAAAAACGCTTGAGGGTGACAGTGAATAGTAACTCCGATTTCCAAAAGTATCCGGAAAAATAAAAGAAAAATACCAAAAAGTATGTTTCGTCAAGATGACCTCCAAACCAGCTTTCCCTTTGGAATTTTTTTGATCTTTTTGAATTACTCCCTCCGTCCCAATTTGTAAGATACATTACGGTTTACGATGTTTGACTGACGATAAAGCAAATTGATCCCTGTCAACACTCAAATTATTTTTAGAAAATAAAATTTACATATTCAGAAACTACATTAAAACCGCTACAAAACCTGCAAAAAATAATTCAAATTTCATAAACTTTTGATATATAAAATAAAAGATTAAAAGTGATTTGTGTTGACCAAGTGAATAGTAAATGTATCATACAATTTGGGACTGAGGGAGTATTTTTTAAAAATGAATTCGTCAATATCACTTTTCAGATGGACTTTCTGGTGACAAAGATGGTTGGAAACAAAAAAAAAAGATGACCTAGTGGTCGTCTTGTTGACGAGCACCTTCCGGTATTTTTCTTTTAATTTATTGGGCACTTTTGAAAATCGGAGTTACTGTTCATCGCCTTCTTCTAATGATTTCTAACGGTGTCAGGTGTCAAGTCCCTGTTTTTTTTTTTTTGGATGAAGGGGGCTTATATTAGAATAGAAGCATTCAGCAAGGATCTAAAATAACAAGAGTACCACTGATAACCATCCGCCCTTGGGCCAGACTCTGAGTTAACCACCTTCAAAGAAGCAGTATAACTCGCTGATCCTAAAATGGGCATAATTGAGCCAACAATGGTTACTGCAGCACACTCATCACCCGAGCCTAATGCAAGAGTCTTACAAAAGTAAACAAAACGAAAAACAAAAACAACAGTCTGAATGCCAATCGAAACAAAACAAGCAATAATGAAATAAACACCACCGTGGAACTGCTGCATCCACATCTTCACGAACACATTAGGCGGGCCTAAGAGCTGAGGCCCGCCTCCTCCCCGTTTTTTGTGTTGTCCAGTGCCATCTCCTCTTCTGAGTTGTTTTCCTCTGCTGGATCCTTCCAGACCCTCCTGCGCTTCTGATCCACCGAGACCTCCCCTGCACCACTTCTATTCTCTTCCTTTGTGCCACTACTTTCTGTCTCAGTTGTTCTTCCCTTACTTCCATGTCTCCTAGTTCCTTCGTCGTCTTGCTGAGTCCTCCTGTGATGACTCGGGCCTCCATGTTTATCCATCAATCCCTTACCACCCCTTGTGGGGCTAATCTTTCCCCCACCCCCTGCTCTCAGCTCAGCACTAAAGTTTGTCTCCAACACGAGATCCTCCACATATTTTAAAGGGCAAAATTTCTCAGAGTGCCCCATAATCCCACAAATGAAACAGAAACTTGGTAGCTTCTCATATTTAAAATCTACCCAGTGTCCTTCCCCTCCCTTTGTCAAAGTAGAACCCTTTTTTAGGGGCTTTCTCACATCCATCTTTACTCTAATCCTCAAGTAAGGGCTCCATTTTTCCTTAAAGTGGCTTTCATCAAAACTAATAAATTCCCCAATATAATTACCCACCCTCCTAGCAGTATCAACATTCATAAACTTATACGGTACATTATGCACTTGCACCCAGAACTCTGCTTCAAACAAGTCCATTTTATGTGGTATATCATTAGGGCCAACTGCCTTTAGCAATACCAAGTTTCGCTCAAACAACCATGGGCCATCTTCGATAACACGATTCATATCAATTTTATGATTAAAAGTAAAAAGATACCTTTTTTCATCAATCTCTTGAACCGCCATTCCTCTTCCAGGCCTCCAGAGCGATGTAAACAGTTCCTGTACTGCCTGAAATCTGACTTTCCGATCGGTATTGATGACTCCCACCACCGGAAACTCTGCCACCTTTACGTGTGGCACGGTAGCCTCATCCTCCTCATCATCAAAATTCAGCCTACTGTTTTCTTTCTCCAAAGCCAATCTTCTATATTGTTCTACCACGTCCTCCATAGCTTTTAAGGAAGAAAAATCCGCCTCCCTAATTACCTCTCTGCTACCGACCCTTCGCCCGTGCCAAAAGACAAGAAACGAAACAACACCGAAGTGTTATCCCGCTTGAGTCGTCAAGCTTGCCGAGAAGAATGGAACAAAGCAAAACCACCGTCAAATCTTGCCAATAAGAACCAAAACACGCCCACCTCCGTTCCCGAGCCTAAATCGATGGCTAAACGAGAAGAAGGGAAATTTCGAAGCCTACCCTAGGCGGCAGTAAAGCCGTAACCTAGAGAGAAGTCGTTCCTCATATATTAATTATTTAATTTATGTGTATTAACATTACGTGTCAAGTCCCTGTTGTGATAGCGGAATTCAAACACATGAATTATTTTGATAAAAAATGAAACACGTGACCCTATCTAAAACCGGGTTCAACCAACAAACATAGCTAACTTTATTAATTTGAATTGTTGTGTGTTCATTACATGTAAATATGTAATGGGTATATCATTTAAAAGAAATCAACATTTCTATTAATTTGTAAACCAGCACAATAAAAATTTTAGATGAGAATATAGTGGTAATAGACTTGAATGAATAAGTTAGTTTATAGCAAATTTATTTCGTGTATTACGAATGATCGATGGTGAGATATTATAAATGAGCATAACAAATGTTTGTACTAACATATAAATGAACACAATAAAATTGATATAATTATAAAGCATTTTCCATAATATTACTCATTATAGAACTTCTGGTAATAATTGAGTAAAAGAATTAATCATGTTAAAGCTATTTGCAAAGAAGGATATGCTTGACATTTAATTTAGCATTTAACGGTTAACGGAGAGTGGAATATGTTAATTAGCGGGTTGTTAATAGTGGTTTCAGTCAATGGGTTTGACTAACAAAATAAGTTGACGAGTTGTAAAAGATGTTTGGTAATTTAGTTGTTTGACCGTAGCAATGGGTACAAAATGCCCTACTTCAAAATGTTAACCCAAAATGTTTGGTAATTTAGTTGCTATTTGCAGCGTTTCAATTCAAAGATTCCGTCCAAAAATGTTGGGGTCGAACAACTTTTTATCAAACAACGTTTTCACTAATTGAAAACGCTAAAATGGGTAAACTCAATATTTTTTTATAGCTAAAATGACATTTTCCAAATACACCTAATATGTGTGTTCCCATAGAGAAGTTAACATATGTGTGTCAACACATCCAGTAATTTATTCAATCACGGCCTCCCGAAACCTCTTTCCGGCCGCCATTATTTGAGGCGATTTCTATTAGAGTTATTGATCAATGTTTATGACCATGTTCTTCATTATGTGTAAATCATGTCCACAAAATTAAAGATTAAAATGTAGTGCTTTTCAGTATATTATTCAACTGACTTCTCGATTAAATTTTGAGCTGAAATTTCATGAACATAATACTAGCATACATTTCATAAAAACACATGCTTATGAAATTTTATTAAAAAACTTTACCGAGAACCACCTCAAATAACGTTTTGTCCACATTATCTCATAGGACGTTTTTTCTCATCACATAATCACGATCACCGATCAAATATACTCCATTCGTCCTAAAAGATTTGCTAAATTAACTTTTCTTGATCAATGATAATCAACGTTGACTAACGATATTTTTTTAATACAAATTCATGTTGAATATGAAAATTATATTAAAATGTTCCTTATTAATATTTTCATAAAAGTATTAAAGTTACTCCTATATAATATATACTGCCTCTCCACCTTAAAACTTTGTGGTAAAATTTAAATCATGATTTTGGTTAGTACTGCGTATAATATTTGGGAAGTGATAAATTTCATACTTTTATGAAAGTACTTTTAACAAATAATATTTTATATCATTTTTATATTATAAATGACTTATTATAAAAATATATTATCGGTCAAAGTTGAACTTGGTTGACCAAAAAATTTAAAGATTGACAAAGTTTTAAGGGATGGAAGGAATATTATGTACAAATATATAATTAAAATCATTGTTCAAAGTTTGTCACCAGCGATGGATAAAGCAAAATGGATGTAGTACTCCCTCTATAACAAAAAGATTTTCCCACTTTGAAAGTAAGCAGATTATGAATAGTTAAAGAAAATATAAATTATCGAGGGTATGCCGAGAATACAGTGGAATAGTGTGATGGAATGAAGGATAAATGCAAAAAAAGAATAATTTATCATTTTCAAAATAATGAGTGTATAATGAGAATATTTGAAAATAAGAATATTATTTAGTTAGGTTGCCCGCAAAGAGAAGGGTGACACACGAAATTTGATGTTTTCACCCTCAAATATGTTGCAATACATGTATTTCTGGGTGACAAAGTGTGTATATGGCACTTTGTTGAGTGGGAATTTGGAACAGCAGCAGTGCCGTCATGCTCATATGACAATTCTGAAGTTTGTGGGGCCTGGAATATTAAAATCCCAATTTTCTTTGATGTATTTTAACTTTTTATTTGTGCTTTAATTTTTTATAAAAAGTATATCAAAAACTTTAATTTTTAGGTTAAAGGGTCAAATAGGCCCTCGAACTATCTTAAAAAGTGCAAGTCACCCCTTATATAGAAGGCTTTGTCCGGTCATCGCTATTTGGGGCGGTTCCGGTGCAATTTTTTGTTGATTTTTTAGCATCTTCTTCATTACGTCTAGTTTACTCATACCAAATTTCAGATAAAAATTCAACCGGAAAGACAGTCAAATGATTTTTTGAAATTTACCGAGTTGTTTCACTGCACAGTTATCTTCAAAATTTAATTTGACTGCCTTCCCCAATGAATTTTTAGCTGAAATTTGGTATGAGTAAACTAGACTTAATAAAGAAGATTCTCAAAAAAATTCATCAAAAAATTCATCCGGAACCGTCCCAAATAGCAGCGTCCCGACAGAGCCTCCTATATTAGGGGTGATTTGCACTTTTTAAGTTAGTTAGAGAGCCTATTTCACACTCTAGCCTAATTCTTATGATCTATTTTATGACACTAATATTGTATATATTTTCTTTTAAATGAAGTATCATCAAATGAAGATTTTTATGTTCAATTTTTTATTAAATAAATTTAAGTGTTAAAATTAAGATTTACGATTAAAATAATTTTTTCATTTTTTAGTTTTTTTTTTTCATTTTTACAGTTATTTTTTCAAAAAACGGTCTAAACTAACAACAACAAAAATTATAAAATTAATTTATTAATTTATTTTTACATCATATTATTTGACTTTCAAAATTATAATTATTCACAAAAAATATTTGGAAAAGAAAATGATGTGTATATAATAATAAAAGGAAGACTTTAAAATAATGGTGGATAGCAATATTTGCTAAATTGCTTGAATAAATACATATTAACCGTTGAAAAATTTAAGGGAAATTTTGAGTTTGTACCCCACCTTTTGGTTGATATTGGACTTTACACCATATTCTTAAAACTTTTAGACTTTGCACCATTTACAACATTTTGTGAAGAAAAATTTCCGAATAAGGTGGAAAGACAAAGCCATTTTAGGGGAAATAAGGTGGAAAATAAAAAATTTTAAAAAATTAAAAAGTACAAAATTCAATATCATTCAAAAAATAAGAGACAAAGTCAAAATATTCAAAAATTTAATTTGTGGACATTGGGATAAGTTTTATCAACCATGCTTGTTGTACTCACCGCTTTGTACCTACCTCTGTAAAAGCTATTTTTTTGTCTGTGAAGCCGGTTTACAGACAAAATATGTCTTTGAATTCCTTCACAGACATAAATATGTCTGTGAAGGAATTCACAGACAAAAAAATTACTTAACAAACATGGGTGGATGATTATAAAAGTGAATACAAACATCATTTTCCAAGTTTTATAGATCAAAAAGTAGAGTGGGAATACTTTTTTGTCAGCAGGTAAAACAAGAGAAATGATTGCATACGCGCCAATTTTCTTCCTCGCATGATGACATGGCCGGGTCCGGTGCGCGAATATCAAAGGAATCAATGATCACCATCGCCATTCCAATCATGACACTGTTGCTTTTGACCAAACTGCATTCATTGCGGGCGCCTGCTATTAAGAATTTGGTGCCCGGTGAGATCATCCGTGACGGCACAAGGGATAGTTCATCAAACGGACGTATGCAGTGTCCAGTGAACTGGCATCGTTGAAAAACAAACGCCCCCAAAATAGAGTCCAATACCTCAACTTCCTCAAGTCCCAAGCAACTACCGCAGTCTGGCGACGGGCATCGTTGATCGGCCATTCCGAACAATCGCGATTCGTCCCAACCCCCAATCTCCGATCGTCCGGTCGTCTCCCGTCGCACCACGCACGGCCGCACCTGCTGGTCTGCAGCTCTGCTCTTTGCCTGCATCCCTTCGCCAGTCCGCCACTCTTCTTCTCTTCAAATTTCAGGTAGGTTTTTAAATGTTTTACTTTTATTACACTTTTTATTTCAGCTTTATAATAAATCCTCTATTTCCAATTTACAGAATTCTGGAAATTAGGATTTCCAGAAAGGCTTTACATAGTTTCTGGTTTCAGGCTTTCAAGTTTCAACTTTATTACTTTATATATTAGGATTCTCACAATCCCATGATAGCATTTATTATCAATGTAATATGTGAGCATCATTCCATTAGCATCAATTTGATTGTGATTTGTTATTTTTAATCTGATCATTTAGGATCGTTTGTATATCTTAAAAATCACTAATTCACTACCATGGATTACTCGAATATGAATGGCAGCGTTGAGAAAAATGTATTTTCAATCAAGTTTAACTAGGTACTGACTTTTTGTTAAAGTTCTTTGTGCAATTCATAATTGGTTTGAATGTGTAGGAAATCAATTTTGCAACTGTTTTGTTAAAAAAGATGTCTTGGTGCTCATTTTAAAGTTTAAACACACATGTGCTCATCTTCATCCTATAAACACACATGTGCTCACCTTCTTCCTATAAACACACATGCCCAAGTCGCCTGAACAGTCAAAATCAATCACTCATTTGAGGGAAATTGTCCTATACAACAATGGAAGGGTAAAATTAAGTTTTTCAAGAACTTCCAGTGCCAGAAATTCAGAAATCGCCTGAACATTCAAAATCAATCACAAGTACTTGATCTTGCAGCCTCAGCTCCCCTCACTGATCCATTTACCTAATTTACTTAACAAAGCATAAATCTTTTCAAAACCAGGTTTTTCATGTTCCTAATATTCCAAACGCTTATTTTCAAAATGTTGACTCTTCCACAATTGTGCCTCACCATATCTATACATCACATTAAACCGCTAATGAAGAACAACATAATCTACTAAACACCTCCAACCTCGCCGTCCTTTTCTGCACAAAGTTCATTACTGTAAATATTGTTTATGCTTTGCACTTGGAAGATTAAGCAGGGGCAGAATAGGTCAGGCATGTATATGTTAATCAACCAATAAGGGTAATCTCTCACGACACCTTTTTGTAACTATCAGGAATCTGAGTAATCCAATACTCACGTGGATAGTTATGTTAATGGAACATGATTCTTTCCAACATAATCTTTGTCTCAGTTTGTCTGTTTAGTTACAGGATGCTTTTCCCTGAACTGTCAAATATTATACTAGTATTAAATAAAAAGAACATTAGGTTAGATAACGTAATTGCTACTGGCACTAATGAATCACGCATCGTGTGTTACTAAAACTATTTTTTTTAATAAAGGTAATGAAGATTGATTTAAGGAGATACTTTATACCTATTAAATTTTGGCACCCACTGGATGCCAATGCTAGATCTGCCACTGTGTAAGGCTTGGTTCTTTTGCGGCGTAATTTTCTCCAATTCTGTGCTTTTTCCTTGGCAGGTTTCTAACCAAGATTTTAATCTCTCTGCTATTAAATTCAGTCGTTCTGTTCATAACCTCGCCCCTGCTTTTCAGCTCTCTCTTGTGTAATTCTCTGTTTCCTGATATAAATACGATATTTTTGTAGGTACAGTAAATTCAACCAGTGTGTACTGTGTGTTTATCAGTTTATGCCGTTTATGGTCATATGGAAGGTATGCATGACTGGCCTTTTCCGACTTGGATGATATTAGTATGAGCAGTAGTATAGGCTGCGCAGCTGGAGCTATCGAGACTTTTTTGCCTGAACCCTCGCCGATGGACGTAAACGCCCTCAAGCTCTTATCAGAAACTCTAGAATCAATATTTGAGACCTCTTCTTTCCCAGACTTTGACTTCTTCGCTGACGCAAAGCTGGTGGCAGTAGGCGGGAAGGAAATTCCAGTGCACAGGTGTATATTATCTGCAAGAAGTCCGTTCTTTAGGAATCTATTTTGTGGGAAAGATAAAAGTGTGAAACTGGTTTTGAAAGAGTTGATGAAGGAGTATGAGGTGAGCTATGATGCAGTGGTGACTGTTTTGGCTTACCTTTATTGTGGAAAAGTTAGAGCTTCACCAAAGGATGTATGCATTTGTGTTGACATTGAGTGCTCACATGAAGCTTGTAGGCCGGCCTTGGAGTTCATGGTGGAGCTTTTATATGCTTCCTTTACATTCGAGATATCAGAACTGGTTGCAAAGTTTCAGGTATTGCCATATTTTATCAATCAATCAATGTGCTTCAATTTTGGCATTCAAATGCTGTTCAATTTGGTCATCTCCGTAATGCGTTTATACGTGTTCCTGTGTGGGGTTTTGTTAAAAAATAATAGCAAAGGAAACTCAAGGACAAGAATAGGACCATATTCAAAATCTCCAGAAAAGTGACTAACAAGACATTTGTCACATGCTGCTGCAGTGACCTGTCACTGCCGGTGAACCGCTGCCGCCTCCGGTAACCTGCCCCCGCCGCCAGTGATTACCGCCTCCGGTAACCTGCCCCCGCCGCTAGTGATTACCGCCTCCTGCCATTCACATTTACACCGCCGTCCTAGTGACACTTACACAACCGCCCACTGACCACCCCCGACAGTGACCTATTTTTCCGGTAACCTAATGCCCCGATGACCTGCCACTGGCGACTGTACGTCTTCCCCAGAACTCCCACCCCTTCCATCTGCCCCCAACTTTCCGCCTCAGCCCCTGCCTCCACCTACCTCTGTTTTTCCCTCTGGCCCTGCTACCACCAGTCCCCAGCCCCAGCCCAATCACCAGCCCCGGCCCTGCCCCACCAGCCTGCCCCTAACCCTGCCCTCACTCCTCCCCGGCTCCCACGCCTCCATTGCCCCAACCCGCTTCCCCAACAGCCTTTCCCAGTCTCGCAGCCCCCCTCCCCAGCCCTCGCACCACCAGAAACCCTAGCGGCGGCAGCGGGGAGCGGCGAGACGAACTCCACTTGAAACCCTAGGATTCGCCGCACCCAATCGCGATCTCAAATCGCTCCAACCACATCCGCTTTCCTGGCTTCAATTCGCCACCTGTGTCGAGACAGAAAGAGAAGAAATAGATGGGCGGGCAGCGGTGCGCGATGAAGACAGCGGCGCAGACCTGCAGTGGCGGCGCGACAAAGAAGAAGACAGACAACAGTCGTCTCCGTCGCTGAGGTCGGCCTGGAGGCGTGAAGGAGTCAGCGGCGTGGAGGAGAGCGCTACACAGAGAGACAAAGGCAGAGAGAGATGGAGCCAGACGGAGCTGGGAGAGAAGGGCAATTTTGAATTTTTATTTTTATTTGGTCTCTCTACATTTCCCACTCAAAACGTAGGAGTAATATTTCTGTCATTCTTTCTGTTTTAATCGATCTCCATGTGTCCAACATAATGTTTGGTTTGTATCTCGTTATCTTCTGAAATAACCTGGATTGATTCTTTATTAATTGTTCATTTCTAACAAGAAATCAAGGTTCAGAGGCCAATATGAAATGTACTGCGGTTTTATATAATAATGATAGTTATAGTTATATATCAATTTACAAGTATGAGGTAAAAAAGGTATCAATTTTTTTTGCTAGGTATAATTTAGAGAATCTAAGTATCCGAGAGATATATGCTAAATGAGACTGTCATCTCTCGTCTGATAGAAGATGGTCCAAACCGACCTCGACCTCCATTGTAATGTTCTTACTTCTTAGTTGCTGAGAACTCTGCAGAGTCCAGATATAGCATTTTCATTTGATCATGGTCAAGCCCATTCATTGACAAATCTAAAACAAGAGAGACAATTACACAAACCCAGGCCAAAGCTTTGGAGACTTTAAGATTTTCAATTCAGTACTTGGGACTAAGGTCTTGGGAGTTGGAACTCCCAAGCTTGCAGCCCCAAAACCATAGAAATTGGCGGGTGTCTTGAGGCCATGGACTCCCCAGGACTGCCACACCGACATATCACACATGTCCCTTTCTGGTGTAGCAATAGGCTTAAGATTGTAACCCACAAGTGTTTTTTTGAGAACTCACAGACTGGCTAAGTTTGTGAGGCAAGGATGCAGCCCCAAAACTATAGAGATTGGCAGAAGGTGTCTTGAGGCCATGGACTCCCCAGGACTGCCACACCGACATGTGCCCCTTTTTGGTGTAGCAACGGGCCTAAGATGGTAACCCACAAGTTCATTGTTGAGGACCCACAGACTGCTACATCTTGAGTAAGCCTGTCTCCCTCTAGTGTTCAAAGTATTTTCATGTAACTTTATGACTTCGACTATTTTGGTTACCTCAGTATCTTGTCTACTATTTTGACTACTTGTCTCCCCAAATGTTTTCTACATTTAGGCATGTAGATATATATATATCTACACTTGCATAGTTGCATGGCTATACATAGCACAAGACGCTCTTTGTAATCTGACTTTATTTAGATATATATGTACCCTTGGGCTATGTATAGCCATGCAACTATGCAAGTGTACATATATAATTAATGAATTAAGATTTAGACTCAGATTCTTTCCTTTTATTTATAGCCTACTAGGGGTTTTCAGTTGAAGATTTCTTATTTTCCTTACAGAAGCTATGCCATTAGAGTTTGAGGTCTTTAGGTCTTCAGTTCCTGTCTAGAGGTTCTCTTCATCAACTTGAGGTTAAATGATGCTCTCCTTGAACCTTGTATTCGACCTGAGCTAGAGCTCTAGGTATCCTCTTTAGAGTTTGGGGGGACTTGGGTTGAACACAATTCAAATGATATAACCCACAATCACATATTTCTCCACAATGCTTATATTTGTTTTTTTTATGTACCTGTTCCATTTTTATTCCAAAATCCCTAAGTTGCTGTGAGATAGTGTATACAAAAGTGAGGTTTTAAAGGTCCTCTACTCAAGAACCTAGATTATTGAATTTGAGAATCTGAGTTACTATCTTAGTTCATGATCCAAAAGGTGGAAAGTGAAAAGAGGCTTGGGGTATTTTACCTTGTAGGCTTGGGCAGCCTGTTGCCTAAGTCAGTTGCCTCGCCAACCTTTCTGTAAAGGGGCATGGGGCGGTGTGGTGGGATTGGGGTTGGGAACCCATGGCCTTAAAACACTAAAACACGTTGTGCCGATCTCCACGGATTGTCTTTGCTGGCCTGGGAATTCCATGGCTTCCATCTTGAAGTACTAATTTGAAAAAATATGTGTCCGAATCTTTGGTTGGTCCATGTTGTCCTCTTCAAATCGACTATGTCCATGAACCCATAATCTAATGGAAATGATGCATCAATGGATGTCTCCATAGCTAAGGCCATTCAAAGTGGAGGTCAAAGTTAGCTTGTGCCATCCTCTATCAACATTTTTTTGTGGACTGATGTATCAGTCACAAAACTAATAGTAATAGTATGAAAACTTGACTCATGCCACAGAGTTCTTCGAACAAAGTAAATGCAGTGAAAGTTGTTGTCTTGTGCAAATCCTTTTAAATTTCAAAAGCTAGAGTACAGGGTACGGACCCTTATTTGTTGGCCTCAAATACTTGATATTGGTTTTCTTAGGCATTAATGTATCTTTCTCTGATGGCGCAGAGGCAGCTTTTAGATATTCTAAAAAAGGCTGCTGCAGATGATGTATTGATGGTTTTTTCAGTTGCAAACACGTGTGGTATAAGGTGTGAGGCATTAATGTCCAGTTGCATGGATATTATTGTCAAATCAGATATAGATACAATCACCCTTGAAAAAGCACTGCCTTGTCAAATTGTGAAACAAATTACTGATTCCCGTACAAAGCTTGGTTTGCAAGTGCCAGGAAGCAACAGGTTTCATGATAAACACGTGAAGAGAATATACAGAGCTCTGGACTCAGATGATGTTGAATTGGTCAGGATGCTATTAAAAGAAGGACATACTAATTTAGACGATGCATATGCTCTCCACTATGCTGTAGCTTATTGTGATGCAAAGACTACATCAGAGTTACTTGATCTATCAATTGCAGATGTGAACCATCGAAACTTGAGGGGATACACAGTGTTGCATGTTGCTGCAATAAGAAAAGATCCTAAAATTGTAGTGTCCCTTTTGACAAAGGGAGCTAGACCTTCTGATTTGACATCAGATGGAAGGAAAGCGCTTCAAATTGCAAAGAGGCTCACTCGTGCCATGGATTATAAAAAACCTGTAGAGCAAGGAAAAACTACCCCAAAGAATCGGTTGTGTATAGAGATTTTGGAGCAAGCAGAAAGAAGGGATCCACTACTAGGAGAAGCTTCTGAATCTCTTGCTATGGCTGGTGATGATCTGAGAATGAAATTGTTGTACCTTGAAAATAGAGGTAAATAATCATTCCGGACTCCTCCTTATTTTCAGTGACCATAATCTTATTGTAAATTTATTACTATTGTTGTTGTTGTTGTTGTTGTTTTTGTTGTTTTTGTTGTTGTTGCTGTTGTTGTTGTAGTTGTTGTTGTTATTGTGCCCCAGTCACTAAACAAGACCTCCTGTAAAAACTATCTTATAGAGTTATAGTTGCTCCCATTGTTGATGTCTTCATTTATCTACTCCTCTTGCTATATATGCAAGAGGTTGGAAGTACCGGCATATTATTAACTCTAGTCCACTAGGTTTATCATACAGTTAAAATTATGTAGTCAATTTGTCTTACCTGATAAGTAGTGCGTATGATTAAACACAAGGAACTTATGTATGTGATTAGAAATAGGCAGTCAGCAGATTACTAAACTAAAGTGCTGACACGTGGGGGCGGGGGGATAGGGAGCATTTTCCCTTGTTCTTTTAGATTTTTATAGTTACTATTAGATACAACCTATAAAAGTTTCCTCTAGCGTTTCAGTGATTCATAATCAGATAACTCAAACGTCCCATGGCATGGATGGTATGCTAGTTTTGTTATAGAAGGCCTCTGGTTTAATACAGCTTCTTGATCAGTGTGGTTTATGGTGTGGGTTATCTTGATTTTCGTTTCTAGGAAGTTTGGATTACTATAGGTTTTATAGTGTTTCCAATTCCTCTTTTATTTTGCTATAGTGGTGGGAAATCATGTTTGAACTGTGCGTTCCTACCCCAGCTCTCCCTGCCTCTCTCATTTTCCATTTATGTACCCCCTTATATATATAAACATTATTTTTATCCTTTTCATTTTTTCATTTTTAGGTATATTCATCTTTTTATATTATCTCTTTCATAATAGCTTATCTTTTTTATCTTTATTTTCTTTCTTTTCCTTTTGGTGGTGATATCATGTACTGATTCATGTTAGCCGACCTCAATATCTTTTGGGACTAAGGCTTGGATGTTGTTGTTGTATTGCAGTAGCTCTTTTACTCCTAGAAAGTCTTGCACCTTCATTTTATGAAAGCATGAAGCTGAATTGGATAGATGCCCTCCAATCTAAAGAAGCAAAAATGTAATATACTTTAAACATTGAAAGTAATGATTCTTAAATATCTGTTTTTTAAGTACTCCGTGAAAAAAAAAAGGTACTACGTGTTACTTTTAACTTTTATATTAAGTATACTCTGTTTTTGGTATAGATATTTGAGTTTTTTTAATAAAAACTAATAGAATGACATAATCGGTGATCATATGACATCGCAATCACCCTTCACTCACTTTTAGAAACATTTTTTTTATTAAGGTATAGACTAAAGCCCTCTAAGTGTTTCCCTCTACAAAGCCTCTGAAGTATTAAATTTTGGCTAATCTCTCCGTGAGACCACCTCTTACGAGAACCTCCATGCAAATAGAACCTCTTTATCTTAAGATGGTAAGCAATCTGTCAAACTTTGACCCTTCTTGACTGCTTAGCATTGAAGAAGAAATAACGTATGCCAACTGTTGTACTGGTGATTAATGTTAGGGTTCTTTTGATCAGTTGGGCTGGCTAAGCTTCTCTTCCCAATAGAAGCTAAGGTTGCAATGGATATTGCCCAAGTTGATGGTACGTCAGAGTTCCCTCTATCTTGCATCAACAAGAATATGGCTGATGCGTCAAGGAGAATGACTGTGGATTTGAACGATGTGCCTTTCAAACTCAAAGAGGAGCATCTGAATCGGATGAGGACACTTTCCAAAACAGGTTTTAATGCACATCTAGTTCTTCTCATCTCCATCCTTTTTTATACTAAAGGATCCTTTTGGAACACGGAAAATGCCAAAGACAAAAATTAGGGAGGAATGTATATGAGAAACTTGGAGAGAGAAAATGTTGAGGACAGTAAAAGTTTAGGTTTACTATTTTTTTCAAAATTATTTTTAAATGATTAGTATTGTGTACACACTAATAAGAACTAGGGAAATTCCTAGAACAGGAGTAAAAACAAATTGGTTCCTCTAAGCAGGAATACATTGTTTGTTTTAAACAGAAGTAAAAGACCCCCCTGGAGTAAAAAAAAGATTGCCCTCATGCTGCCATGTTATGGCATTATCAGCCATTAATATCCAGTATTAATGCCATAATATGACCATAATTTTTAGAATCACAATAAATACTCCTATTTAGGGTAAAGGAACATTGTACTCTTATTTAGGGAAACTAAATTATTTTTACTCCTACTTAGGGCAGTTTCTTTAAGAAATAACTAAACATATGTAAAAGGAGCTTAGTACTCCTATTTAGGGTAAAGGAACATAGTACTCTTATTTAGGTAAACTAAATTATTTTTACTCCTACTTAGGGTAGTTTTTTAGGAAATATTAAACATATTTACATACGTAAAGAACTTAGGTATATTAGTCATATTTGAAATTCTTTGCTTTTTCTAAAGAAAAAACACCCTTAGCATTTACTGAGATCCAAACATAGCCTAATTCATTGTCCATGTTATTAATTACTTTGTCCAGTGGAACTAGGAAAACGCTTTTTCCCGCGCTGCTATGGGATTCTCAATAAAATCATGGACAATGATGATTTATCAGAGATAGCTTGCGTTGGGAATGAGACTCCAGAAGAGCATCAATCAAAGAGGCAAAGGTATATGGTACTTCAAGAAATTCTGAGCAAAGCTTTCACAGAAGATAAAGAAGAGTTTGATAGGGCTAATGCTTCCTCATCCTCTTCCTCAACTTCTCTGGCTGCTGCAAATCCTGAGGGGAAGCTCCCCTTTAAGAAGCCAGGTTGGTAAATAGTATGGTAGGTATCAGCAGAGAGAGAGCATTTTGTCATTAGTTGGTCTGTAAATACTCACCACAAGTACTAAATCACTTTTTATTTTCTATTTTCACTAATCATATATACAGAATAATAATATAATGAGTTCTGCATCCATTCTCTGTTCCTAACTGTTGCTTTTATTTACAATCTTCTTCAAAATGTTGCGTACAGCGTCTTGTCAAGAACCATCTGATCCAGTACAAAAAAAAATGGCAGACCCCACCCCCACACCCGCCACCTCCAAATTTTGTGATATTCATATGTAGATGAAGGGTATTTGAACAAGTAATCCTGAATTACTCCCCATCCAAAAAAGAACCATGTTAAATTGTTTAAGAATTATTTATTTTTAGTCAACTTAATACACACACAATGCAAGTTTTTTTATAAAAGGCGCTTATTATACCCCTAAAAATTATTTGTAAGATTGTTTGGAGCAATTGACTAGTTGAACAAAAGCATTCGCCGCTTGACTTAAGTTATGGTACCCGCTAGGGTGGATCAATTGACTAAACCTGCTTGCTGATTGACTTCACTAGTTTCAAAGGTTGTTTGGTGCAGTGTAGAAAAACCCGCCACTTGAAATAACTTATTTCAAAGATTGTTTGAACTTTAGAGCAGTTAACTAGTTGAAAATATAAACATATGAAACTTAAATGATATGGATATTGTAGGTTGATATAGTTAGATCAATAAGCGGTCCACGAACCCAAAGCACAAAATTCTTGTTCACTGAACTGGAATATGAAGATGAGGAGTATATGAAATAGTTACTCAAACACACAAGATACTCAAAGAGCTCATTCCAATCGTCATGCTTTAAACGACCTGCTGGGCAGTAGAATGGACCCATTGACAGTTCTCAAACACTCGTATTGCTACACTTCCAAGTTACAATCACGCTATTATTGCTTCAATTCTTATCGGCTAGTTTGTGATTAAAGTTCCATTTATATCCCTTTTTATTATTGTTCCAATTCCATCTTAAAAGTCAAATCATTTAATGATGTCCTTATGGGTGAGCACGCCCCAGTCTTGCCCTTATTGATACTCCCTCAGTCCTATTTTGTAAGATATGTTTCCTATTCACTTGGTCAACACAAATCACTCTTAATCTCTTACTTTATATATCAAATTTTTATCAAATTTGATTCTGACTTTTGCGACTTTGTAAAGCTTTTAATGTAGTTTCTGAATAAGTAATTCTTTTTTTTTTTAATAATTTGAGTGCGGACATGGACCCATTTGCTTTATTGTCGGTCAAACATCGTAAACCATAAAATGCCTTGCAATTCGGGACAGAGGGAATATAACGCTTGTCCTTACATGTTACCATGAGGAGTACCCCTATTACTTGTTTACCTGGTCCATGTGGTTCATTATGTAATCAACCTGACCAACCTATTTTCCACAACATGGTGTTGTAGCCTGTCAGGGTTGATGTAGTAATCCTAATCCTTTTGAAGCGTTGGGCCAGATCATGTTGTTAAACTGGCATGACCAGCCTAACTGTGATATTCGTGAGCCAATATCCAATCTAATGTATTCTCCAAAAGGCCGGATAGCGTTAGTAGTTAGGGCGTTATGATACATGATGCGATACATATGATGTTGATACGGTTGTATATATTAAGCTTGTACCCATAATTCTATGAATCTATAGGACCATTTAATACCTTTGATACTCGTATTCCTCGACTAATACCAGTATTTAAACTAAACTATTCACAACTCCCGTTCACTGCATATTCACATACGAGATACATGCAAAGTAAGATATGAGTAGTTGTACCTATCAAATATTCACTTGATGAGCAGGAGTTGGAGTCGGTCTCCTTTGAAAATATATGAATCCAAATTCAACGTTGTGTTATGAACCTTGCCCATACTAGACTCATATCAATACGCACACCTTGTGTATATAAGCCACCGTTCAAGAGATCATTAATGTATAGATGTGCATATTATGTTTTCAATTTTTACGTGCAATGGCTATCACTTATCAGATTTAGGGCAAGTCAAGAATAATACATAGAGTGACTTTAATAAACCTATTCGGGGTAATACTACAATCAAATAATGCTGATACTTTCATCGGAAATTGTCCTAAATAGGACTAATGAGTTCCTTAAAAGCACAAATAGGACTACTACTTTTTAAATTCCCTAAATAGGACTAAACATTGATTTTCTACCCTAAATACCCCTAAGAGTATTAATTCCTAATGAAATGCTTTAATTCATAATAAAATCATAAAAAAACGTAAAAAATATTTAAAAAACGTAAAAAAATTATAAAAATTTATAAAAAATTTATAAAATAAAAAATTTAATTTTTTATTTTTTTAATTTTTTTTAAAAAATAATAAAAAATAGTAAAAACCCATAAAAAAAATGAAAAAAATTATGGATACCTTTCCCACCGCCTCCTGCCGCCTCCCACCACCACCACCTCCGATTGGTGAAATTTCTTCCACTTTTGGTAAAAAAATGCCATCTTTTTCTGAAAATGCCAAAAAGATGGCATAATTACTCTTCAATATGCCAACATTTTCATTGAATATGCCATCATTATGGCATAATTTAAAATGTTGGCATATTTTTCTCCGGTGATGGGAGCTAGTGGTGCTGGGGGTGGCAGGGGTGGTAATGTTTTTTTTTTTAATTTTACGATTTTTTTTATTTTTTTTAATTTTTTTAAAAAAAAATTATTTTTTTAAAAAAATATTTTTATTAATTTTCTATTATTTTTTTATGATTTTTAGTATTTTTTTCGATTTTTATTATTATTTTTATGATTTTATTATTAATTAAAACATTTCACAAGTTACAAGGGTATATTTGTCCAAACACACATAAATAGTCCTATTTAGGGAATTTAAAAAATGTAGTCCTATTTGTGCAATTTTGCCACTTTTTAGTCCTATTTAGGGAATTCACTCTAATTTCATTTGGAAGTCACTACATAATAGCTAATGTGCAATTTGTAAATATTTATTTACACGTTGGAATATTCTTATTAATACTTACGACCTTTTTTAGATGTAGGACTGAGTTGCCTTCAATATTAAAACAACATTGTGGATATACTATTAAAGCATGAGAAATGAATACTGAGAACAATTATCAACTCTTTAATATGTTTTTCACAAAGCACTCCATTTTATAATCATGTTTATCAAACTACTCCTAACATACTTTCTGTACATAATTTATTTTTTTCTGGCGCGTTTAGAAAAATAAAAAATGTTAAATACAAAAGTATACAAAGAGAATTCTCTAAAATTAAAACAAGGTAAAAGTACACAAAGAGCCAAAGAGGACTTGTATGTTTTATACGACTAAAGTGTACGAACATGACAAATTAGTCCTTGATGAAACCAAATCAACTCTTCTAGGCTTTGTAAAGGCTAATTCGATGATGTCGGCCATGCGCTGAATGCGCGTAGGGACAGGTCTTCATCATATGGACTAGGCTGGCCTCATCAACTCCGTTGTCGCCTTCGCCATGCTCACATGAAGCCGCTGCCACCCTCCAACGAAGCCGATGCCCTCCATCAAATCACGGCACACCTCCAGTGACAACTTCAGGTGTAAAAATATAGAATTTTTAGATGAAAAATAAAAGCATTTTTAGAATCATAATTGTGGCATTTTCACAGTGAATTAGTGTACTCATCATATTAAAAATGACATATTTAAACCAAGCATTCCAACCCAGCTAACCAGTTGTGAGGTTACCGTGCCTAGTGAGAGGTCTCGAGTTCAAAACCCGCTAGGCACATAAGGGTTCGAAACTCAATGGAGTGAGTTTCTGTCATGATTACTCCGGCCCCCCAGACCCCCTGGAGTAAAAAAAAAATGACATATTTATAGTTTTATACGTTTAGTGTTATAAAACTGATATCATTTGACAAACAAGCCAAAAAAAATATTGCGGTCTTTATACATATAATGCCACAAAAGTGACATTTTTTTCTAATAACCAAACACTCTCAAATTCCAAAAGTGTCATTTTTCTAATACATAATAGTTGTGGCATTTTCATATTCAAAACCAATCAAAATTGATAAATATATAAAAATTCAAACTCAAATATTTCCTATCACTTTTTTGTTCATAGAAATTTGGCTCTTCATCTGAAATTTCCAAAATCAAGATTTTATTTAGGATTTGAAAAGTTAACCTATTAACAGAAAGAACAAAAACAAAGAACCAGGAAGGAGAAGGAGAAGGAGAAGAAGGCCTGCCTGACTTCGTTGGAGAAATAAAGAGGTTAGTGGTGCCATTATAGTTGATGGCAGAGCTGCGGTCTATGGTAGAGAGATCAGAAGAATCGCAGGTGGATGAATTCCAAACGATGAATAACACAAAGATATGAAAAGCTTAAAGTACAACACATGCATGTTATAGACTCCACATATCCAAATGAAACATTAAGCGTAAGACTTGACAGAAGAATCATTTGGTCGCTTTTGTATAGCATGGGAGAGGGTGTGGTGTATGGCGGTAGGGATACATCCTCACTAGGAACACTAGCAAAGGCAAGGATCAAAGAACAAACCTTATGGTGCACAATGTTTTAAATTGCATATCGCGTAGTTTAGGGATGGACTGGGTTGGCCCGGCCCGGCCCGGCCCGGAGCCCGGTGGCTATATGGGCGGGCTTCAGGCTCGTTTTTTTTGTTCTGACCAGGCTGGGCCCGGGCCCAATTGCACTATTTTTTTAATTTATTGCCCAGTCTCATCCCGAAGCCTGGCCCGACCCGGTCCCGATACAAACCCGGGCTGGTACCGTGCCTGAAATCCCGAAGCCCGTCCAGTCCTGGCCTGGAGCCTGGCCCGGTCCACCCCTAGCGTAGTTGAGGCCCTATTTTTTATAAGGTGTATTGTGTAAGCCTCATTGCGCAATGAGGCGTAAGGCTAAGACGTAAATCTTAATATGTGGGGCATTTATCTATATAAAAAAATAAAAGTGATAAGAAATCACTATTCTTCCAGAACAACAAAATTTATAAACAAACTAACAAAAATGTCATAATGTAATTGAAACCTTGAGTTCAAACAAGACATCGTTGAAATTATTTATGCTAAAATTGTAAGACTATTGGATTGATGAATCAAAAAGGGAGTTCGATATCTTGTAGTATTATAGATGTTTGAAACTGTAACTTATAAGAACCCTCCAAAACCATTTCTTCCAATTTTTTAAAATCCCAAACAGGAAAGGGAGGGTCATAAACCCCCCTCAACCTTCCACTCCCCTTCAAGCCTAACCTCCAAGTCCCAAACATACCCTTAGTGTCCAATTTCTTAATGAAATGTAGTAACCCGAATTAAAGAAAAAATCACTCACATTCAATAAATGTTGAATGACTGGTAAACCATTGTTGAGGCATTTTCTTCTCTTTCCTGATTTTAGTGATACAAGAACCACAACACTGAGTTCATGATAACCTGCAGAATATTAAGGATTCTTGTGTTAGCCTAGTCTGAAGAAGTATGTTCTATATAGATTGGGAAGGACACTGTTTAAGAACTCAAATTTAGCCAACAATTTGAGTCGATTTAAGAAAAAGAAAAAGGAGTTCAACTTGACAAACACACACTTTAAAGGAAAAAATGAATGGGGGCCATAGGGGAATACTTTATCTTTTTTTACATCTACCCAAGAAGGTACAACAAGAAGATACCTTATGTTTATCTTCCCACTCTTCTCCGGGTGCAATATTGCATCTTAAATTGAACATTACTAACAAACGCAAGGACAATTCCATAGGGAAAGGCAAGCAACACTTTGCTTTCCTCATCATTAAACAACTCCAGAAATTGTTGATAGCATCTGAATAGTACCCTTTTTGAGACCTCATTGGTGCTCTATAACTTGGGGAGTTACAACAGATGCACCAATTGATTGATCTAACTTGATCCCAGGCTCGATCTTAGCTGAGAATGCTAAAGTTGATTGGATGGCCTTTTGTGCTGAGCCTAGCATGCTTGCCAAGAATGTTGAGTTGGGCAGTCCAAAACTATTCCCCGCTGTGGATTGACCATAGAGCTGATTGGATAGAGGTGGAGAAGATAACAACTTAAACTGCATGTTCCTGGAGTCATCAAGTCTCCTAAGCAAATTTTGTCTCTCATGAGGAGCCACGGGGGTGGCAATATTGGGCTCTTTACTACAAAGGATAGATTGGTCTTTTGAAGTGGAGCCATCTGATGATGCTTTTCCAAATGAGAGCAAGCTAATTCCTCGAGGCGTAGGTTTGAGGGGGGCTTCAGTTCTCGTCTCAATTCTACATATACCACCACTCTTACTTTCACCATCTCTGTTAAGCATGTTTGAGTTTGTATTAGGAGTGGAATCATTCAAAGTAGCTCCTCCAAAGCAAAGGAAGTTCACACCATTTGGTATACCTGCAGGTGATCTCTCCTTCATAACATCATTTGGCTTTTGGGCAATGACTGAGTTGGAGAGAATCTCCTCTTGAGTAAATTTTCCAGAACCACTCTCCTTCACCAATGATGACTTCCCACGAGTAATAAAGCTCACACCGTTTGGTGTCTGAAAAGCAAGCTTTTGCATGGGCTCACCCAGATGTAGCTGAGGGCTACTGCCATTAGCACTGACTTGCATCTTTGGGCTTAAACTACATGGAAGTAAAGGTGAGCCCAAATGAGCCGCGGAGGCAGGAGTCTTTGAGGATTCTGTCTTAGCTGGCACCTGTAGGAATACCAGGAATAAAAGATAAATCATATTAATTGGGGAAAAAATGGAAAAATGAAAACTTTAACAGATTAAGTATACAGTATCCATACGTCGTGTGAGAACAAACACTTGGCTCCTCTGCTGCAAAAACCCATGGAAGCAAAATTATTGCAGGGATATTTGGAGAGCTGATGATCATAAGGGCAATTGTCCCCTTTCATGCAAGAATTGCGTGCAAAATGGCAACAAGGCTGAAACATCAGAACATTGAACATTAAAATGCATGAAAACCATGCAGATCATGTTCAACATGCTTTAAGATTGTATCTAAGCTGCAATATTAAATAGCACTTATATCCAAAGATAGAAGTCTGAACACCTAAATCCTGCTAGTTTCAGTTATACGACATGCACAATAACTGCACAGGAGCAACAAAAGTATACCGTTGATTTGGTCAATGGAATTGTATCGTGAGAGAAATTGCACTTCTCCCCCTGCACGAGAACAATATATGTGAAGAATATTAAATTTACTTGAATTCCTTAAGAGATCCTAAATAATAACAATATTGTAGGACTTCAAATCACCTCGTGGCACCTTCCTTTCAGATAATGGTGGCAATATGACACTTTTTTTGGCTTCATAATTTGTGGCGGCAGCTTTAATCTTTTTACTCCTAACTTTCTGTTCTTTTCAGCTTGCTTAATCTTCTTTTTGACCTGTGAAAATTATCAGATGCATTGTGGCCATTAAATGACAAAAAGGTGCAAATCATTAGAGTAATATTTGTGTACATAATTCGCTACTATGGGAAAATTTCAAAAACACTTTTCAAGATGATGTGAAAGTCTATCAAACAGGGAGGTTTGCCTTTCACTTTGCCATTAAAAAATAAATACCTTTCGCTTTGCCTTCCTCTCCTCAGTAATAGGCCCTCTGACGTTTTTCTTTGTCATTTTATTTGTATCCTGTTATGATGTATACAACAAAGATTCAGGTAAGGTTACCACACAACACCTGGAAAGTGTAAATGCACACAAATCTCTAGCACAACTAAACCAATGTTAACAGAGAAATTAAATCAGAGGAATAAAAGTACACCTTTGTCTTAGTAACAAAACCTTGTGCTAAGAAGGTAGATCCATCTACCTTCTTAGCACCTTCTATTTGATTAGTAACTATGTCCCTCTCCATAACATTATCAAATGAAAAATAAACTTTCTCAGTCTCAGCGCCATTCTTGCATTCAACAGTTTCAAAGTCATTCTCCTCCACCTTTTTTGAAAATTCTCGAATACACTTCTTAGATTCATTACAAACTGAAGTTAGAACATCCTTTTCCTGAGGTTTAGTATCCCGAACATCATGAGTTGGTTCTTTTATAGCTGTGGTACACACACGAGCAATCTCCTGTTCGAGTGAAACTGCCTCTTCAAAAATCATGCAATCGTCAGGTTCATAATAATTTACCTCATCATCTCCAGAAATTTGTCCTTCTTCAACCTCTTCACTAACTGATAAGTTTGAGGGTCCGGAAGGAGAAATAAAGTTTTGCAGTTCCAACTCTTTAAGTTGCAATCCATGTTCCGTATCTCCCAACACATCATTCTCCTCAATATCGTTTTTCTCTTGATCACTCTGAACAAGTTGTGACGATTCAGACTCTATATGTAAACATGATCCTCTAGTCGCACAAGCTTCTCCAATAGAGATTTCTGTATCCATTTTTTGCGGTTTTTCAAAATCAGATTCCCCTGCTGGCAAGTCTCGGATGTTTGATTTCTCTGCTTCCTCACCATCCAACTGAAAATCAAGAGTACTGTCTTGCTTGGTGTCCACCAGAGAGTCTGAACTCACTACCCCATTGTTAGCACCATTCTCTTGATAATTTACCTCATCATCTCCAGAAATTTGTCCTTCTTCAACCTCTTCACTAACTGATAAGTTTGAGGGCCCGGAAGGAGAAATCAAGTTTTGCAGTTCCAACTCTTTAAGTTGCAATCCATGTTCCGTATCTCCCAACACATCATTCTCCTCAATATCGTTTTTCTCTTGATCACTCTGAACAAGCTGTGACGATTCAGTCTCTATATGTAAACATGATCCTCTAGTCGCACAAGCTTCTCCAATAGAGATTTCTGTATCCATTTTTTGCGGTTTTTCAAAATCAGATTCCCCTGCTGCCAAGTCTCGGATGTTTGATTTCTCTGCTTCCTCACCATCCAACTGAAAATCAAGAGTACTGTCTTGCTTGGTGTCCACCAGAGAGACTGAACTCACTACCCCATTGTTAGCACCATTCTCTTGAGGGGCTTGCGCGTCACATTCTGTTGAATCTTCAATTTGATCCAATGAATCTATACAATCCATCATTTGTGCATCGATGATATCACCTAGGTCCTGCCAAATGGCATGACCGTTGTTCTTCTCATTATCAGTAGCACCAACTAACTTAATTTCAGCCTCCAAATGTTGATCAACCAATTCCTTAGTAGTAGTAGTAGTACCGTTTCCTGATTCAACATTTTCAGAAATGTAAAAAAAATAGCAGCACAAGTTAATACATATTACGCTTGAAAGATTGGGTATAATGGAATTTAGTACCATTGGATTCTAAGCCAACATGGGTTCTTATAGATTTTATGGATTCACCTTTCAAAAAAACTTATGTCTGCCTCAGAGATATTTTACAGAAAACAGTTCTAAAGAGCCTAAAATAGGGGACTTTGGATGTTAAATTCACCCAGCTTAACCTCCATCCAAAAAACTTTTACTTCATTCACCAAGATTAACTTGAAAATTATCCAAATAACATTATTATATACGCACCTGGGTTCACCCAACTTCTACTAAGCCTAAATTCACTTAACCTCGCCAATTCTATTTCAGTTTACTCTATCCAAACAGAAATTACAACTTCAGTTTAATCTGTTTTATCTTCTGAATTCCAAGGCAAACAAAAAATGATGGCAGTTTGAGGCAATGCAAGTCCAATCTTAAGTTACCTTGTATATGTTGGGAATGTTGCAACTCTGAACGGGTGGAGCAGCTGGATAGGATGCAAAACAGTGTGCGGCAAGTTTCACTCATCAAAGGTCTACGGCTAGGCGGCGGATTAAAACGGAAAGGGTTTCCACAGGGTTTTGTTCCATCCCAAGTAAAACAATTTTCCATTGCTGCTGAAGTTCCGTTTTTTATTTGACACTCCACAAATCGCAGCACCAAATGACTATCAGATAGTAAGGCTGGCAGTAATCTGGGATGCACCGATGTTCAATCAGTTGCCTACCTATTACTAATCCTCTATTATCCTACCACTGTTAAATTAACAAATTTTGTCATTAATTCAATAAATAACAATGCGGTCAATTTATGTTTTAAAATAAGGACATAATAAATATTAATTCAATAACGAATACGAAATCAAAAGGAAGATACGATCATAAGATAAGATTCATACTGGGTGGGTAGCCGCCGTACTTCGACGTTCTAATTCCAGATATCCGGACGGGCCCCCAAATGTGCTGGGCGCGCCTATCTTTGCTCAGTAATGGACTAATTTGTCCTCCTATTTGTTATAGTTTGAACGTGTCTCATACTCAGTAACTTTTGCGATAGTATCACTCTATTTCCTGCTGTTAATCGACGAGGAAGACGACCCCTTTGTTTTCCTACGTCCTGCTGCTCTTGTCTTTATAATTGGGCTGGACTGATTTTATGTGGGCCGGATAACATTTGATTTTCCTTAAGCGACATCTTGCATTCAGAAATTGCATTTTTGTCATTCTCTTAATGCGCCTTTCATTTTTCTTTTTCTTTTTGAATAAAACAGCGGGATGCGTCCTCTAGGCTAGTTCATAATCAATAGTCCGACCTTGGTTTTCTAAAGTCAATTGGTTACTACACAACTATATATCTCTTCCGGCAATACCTATATGATTTGGCTATCTAACATGTAGAAAATGTTGGATTTTTTTTTGGATATTTCAAATGAATAAGATTTTAATTATTTTTGTGGGAAATTTTATCATGACTCAAAAGATCATTTTTCTCCTCCATATTAAAGCAATGGAATCCAATGATAAATTAGTGTTTACAACGTAACTATCAGTGTACTTCTAACGTTAGTCCTTTTGATTTAAAACTATTAATGATGAAACGTTTTCATTATTTAATCTCCATTATTACATGTTTAAATGTTTCTCTTTGTTAATGAGTATAAATCATACGTGTGTATGTGTTTTACATCAAGAGATCTTTTTGGTTGAGATGAACCTTGAGAGTTTTGTTGGAGTATATCAAAATATATTTGAATGATAAAACATGTATTTGTGCAACAATTCCTAATATATTATTACTGGGTTCATATACTAATTTCTTCCCGTTAGTTCTGGTACCGGTTTTATAACCGAAGGGCTCGTTATATCTTGGGGGAAATTTCCGTACGCCGGAAATAATTCCTTAGGACAGCGTCTGACGCGTCTCGAGCCACTAACATATTTTTAGTTGTTTTTAGTGATTATTTTGCAGGTCAATTTGCGGAGCTAGATGGTCAATGAGGTCAATTGAGGAGCAACACGGTTAACACGTTGAATTTAGAAGGATAGAGCCAACAATCAAAGGAATTAAGGCGAATAGAGATTACACCTATGGAATTGTCAACGTGTCCGAAATTCTCTTTGAGACAAGCGGTGAAAATTCTAGCTCCCGCTAAATGATCAAGTTTGTGGTATGTGTTTATAACTATTCTCGTTACAAACAACCTTTAGTATAAACATATTTTTTTTTAATGAAAATTATGGGGAAACGATATCCATCAAAATAAAAATAAATTTTGTTGCGGGTGATTATGTAATTATTGCGGTTAATTTTTTAATTTGGATAGAGACGGATGTGAATGAATAATTGGTAGATTTTGAGGCTACAAAATTCATTTGTGAATGCAAAACTATTATCTTTAAATAAAGTATTCCAAGTGTCCGAGTTTTGATTTATTCCAGTTTATGTTTCCCTTTTGAAAAAAAAAATGTGGTTTTGACTAATGGAAAATAATGAGTAAATTTTGAGACAAAGCTATTGTAATCATGAATTTTGTGTGGCAAATATTTTAAAATTACTGAGTGAATCTATACTCTTTTCAATTTGCTTGATACTTTTAATATGTGGCATATTACTTCTTACGCAGTGTTATGTAATGTTAATTTGAATAGCTAAATGATCAAAGTTTAAAGTTATTCATATGAAAAGCTTGCCCGGTGCTTAAAAGTTAGAATTGAACTTCATGTATTCCCAACATTATAAATTTATTATAATTACTGCGTATTAATTTTTTCTCAATAAAAAAAAAATTAAATGTTATGGACCTTTAGAAACTATTTTGAATGTGGTGTTAGACTAGAGCTTTATAACAGTGATAATTGTTACTGCTATCAAATGAGTTGTCATTTTAATCGTCCTTATACATTCACCGGTGTGTTACAAAATATATTTATACGTAATTGTGAATATATATTGAGAATCAAACTGCGCTGAATAGACCGTGATTGTAAAGGCCGGTTTTCTTCCCATAATAACCTCTTGTAAAAGTTTACGAGTGCAGTGGACAGTGGCCTTACTATCATTATTATCTGACTTTAATTTGCGTGATGTACTAATTATTTTTGCATACACGTCTGTGATGTAGTTTTGGATGACTACATTTTTGGACCATTTCTTTTATATGAGAATTATCTATGAGCCTAGTTTTTTTTTTTTCAAATATTCAAAATGTGGGGGTATATTATTGAGATACAATAATTGTTGTGCATGTGTGCTGTGTGCTTTTAGATGCATAGTATATTATATTGGGTATTAATTGATTTGTGGTGAAATTCAAAATTGTGGATGCAAATAATATGTGTCACTTTTTATTATAAATTGTGTGTGGAGATATTTTGAGTTGGATTTAGGAATAATTTTGTAGTATGGGGTTGTTCATTTTATAGAAATTTATCTTGATGCTCAAAGTGTGAATTTATTAAACTTAACACACTATGTGAGATCCGGCAAAATTGTCGGAAGATTGGGATGAAATCGAAAACACAAAAATGTATTTGGTGAGCTAAACCATTGTATTAAAGAAATACAATGATGGAATAATTTATTGAGAATTATCCATTGTATTATTACGATACAATGATGTCATATATATTCTATCAAGTTTTCCGTTGTACTAAATGAGTATAACGATGACACATTTGATCGAGAATTATCCGTTGTACTAGAGTGATACGACGATGTTATAGTTGAGTGCTATCATTCGTACTATATATAATGGTATGATGATGTTATATACATTATAATGATGATTTTTATATACACTAAATTTTAATATGCTCTTTAAATTTAAAGGTGGCTTATGGTAAAATCTTGGTGTGCAAATAAAAGTTGAGCTAGAAATTATCTTCATAAAATAGATATTATTGAATAAAATTGAGTTTTGTAACTTTTGGATGCTTTTACATAAGATGAAATAGAGGAGCATATATACGATTTTCTTAAATTGTAGAATTAATCTGCTATTATGCAATACTTTAAACTGTAATATCTTTGAGATTAATGTGATATTTTTTTTTGAAAATGTGTATACATTAAGTGGTGCAAATGATCCAAATGGATATTTAAGATACTTGATAGAGTATTAATTCAAGAGAGAAGTGAGAGCTAGAGAGAGAAAGTGAGTAATTATATTTCTCAACTTGCCAATCCCCTATAATTAGCCCCTTGGGGTCTATTTATAGGTAAAAATGTGGATTTGGGCCCTTAGCCCTGGGCTTAGGAGGCCCATTACAATAATCATGCCTTCTTTGGGCAAATAAGGCCACTAATGGGCTGAGTACAACACTTAGTACATAAAATAGAAAAATACATTCTGTCCGGGCGAAGTTCGGACGATGCGGTCCATGGACGATGCGGTCCATGGACGATGCGGTCCATGGACGATGCGATCCATGGACGATGCGGTCCATGGATGACGCGGTCCATGGATGATGCGGTCCAAATAAATCAGGCGATATCTTCTTTCTTGGACGCTGCATGCCTCTGGCCGATGCGGGTGCCCCGCTGGTGTGTTTTGGGCCATTGAGTATGTGGGCTATGGGGTCCAGGCCCATATACTCTATCAGGAGTCCCCCACTCTCTGAGCTGAGGTGAAGCCGAAGCGAAAGGGAGTACTTGTTCCTTTCTGTCTGGCCGTTGCGTGAGTCTAAGGCGTTTGATGGCCGAAGAGTTCCTGTATTGATTTTGGATGAAGCGGTTCCTTTATTTGATGTAGATGAAGCGTGCTTGGGAACTCATAGCCTTGATGCGGGCCGATGCACACTCTGTGGGAGTGCCTTTGAAGACGAGGCGATGCGCTTTCTTTTTGTAGATGATGCGATGAATCCTTGGTGGATAAGTTTGGCATGCTTTCGTCGTTATCTTGTTGGGGCCGAAGAGCTCCCATTTATCCTTTTGGCCGTAGCGAAGACCTGTTTTCATGAGATGAAGGTGGTTGATTCTGTTTATGTAGACGATGCGATGCGCACCTTTGATTTGTTATGCAGCCGAAGCGTTTTGACTTGTGAATTTTTGTTATGGTGAGACGATGCGGTCTTTTCAGTGTACGCAGCCGTTGCGATCCTCTTGTATTGGTGGACGTAGCACTGCTAGCGAATAAGCCGATGCGCGCTGCTCTATGTTGTGTAGCTGATTTAGTGATTTTATAGCCAACGCAATCCTTAGTATTTTTGATGGCCGAGGCGATCTTTTGTTATTGGCCGTTGCGCTCTCTCTTTTTGTGGCCGATACAGTCCCCCAGTCCCCCACTCCTTTGGCCGAAGAGTATCTGAGGCACAAGGGAGTAATGAGCCGTTTCGGCACCTGTGCGTTAGTCGCGACTCCAACCCTTAGGCGAACCTGCCAAGGTAACCCTGTGGGAGAACCCTTGGACGAAGGCCGCAATGCCAGGGTTATCATCGACGATGCACGCACAAGCGGCCGTAGCGGTCTATTAAGGTTCCTTGGGTTTTTGTGAGGACGTTGAGTTTAGGCCGATGCGTTCCCCTTTGGAGTTTTGTAGTAATTGGGCCGCAGCGGTACTCGGCCGATGCCTTGCTTTTTTGAGTTCAAGTTTGGCCGTAGGGGATACTTCCATGAGTAATTTTAAATTGGGGCCCCTTGATTGGTTGGAAGAGAGGTGGCCGTTGGTGGAGCCAATGGGATGGCGCCACGTGTAGTGACCGTTTCAAAGTTTTCTATAAATACCCCCCTATTCCGAAGCCGCCTCCTTATTTGTGCTTTGCTGTTGTCGAATTGCTGCTGAGATTTCTAGAGAGATAAAGTGCTTCCCAGAAATCTTCAAGTGTTCTTCGGATCTTCACCCACTCCAAGGTTAGGTTCTTGAATTGTTCTCCCTTTTTTCTTTATACTTTGCTTCCTAGGGGGTTAGATCTAGTGTTTCTAGGAAAAATCACTTTGATCCTCGAACAACCCTTAGGACGTAGCATAGTTGTTATGCCGTTCCCTGACGGCCGTAGCGTCCCCTCCCCTCTTAACTTAGCAGCTTCTTTGGACGAGTCGGACTGGCCTTTCGACGACGAGGACCCGTCTCCTGGAGTGAATCTTGAGATAGTTC